GCTTTGATTGCAAGGTCATCTACAGTAAACATGTGCCCTGGCTCTTAGAACATTTCACCATTCCTGGCAGATTTTCCATTATCACAGTGTGTGATACCTACTAACAAAAGTGATGGAAAGAAAAAATGACTCAAAATGAATTTGGTTAGATATAAAAGTAAAAAACAAAAACAAAAAAAAACCCTAAAATCCCCAGGACACCCTCAATTCATGCACATGTGTAGTCATACCAACATCACAAATTTATGTTTGATGAAGTCCTGAAGGATGAAATATGTCACAAGTAAACTTTCCCACTTTGTCATACAATTTCCCCAATATATCTCTCAGGGACATGCTGTCTAGGCAGGCAGTGCCTAACATGAATAAAATAGATCAGCAGCTACATTTTCCTTCTGTGGCACAATATGCACCTAATCCAATAAAATTATTGAGGTTACTCTGATAATTATGCATAAAATTCAAAAAATTTTATTTTTTTGTATATTTACTACATAAAAGGACACAAAGCTACCTACCTGAGCAATTATTGATGTATATATATATATATATATATATATATATATATATATATATATATGTGTGTGTGCGCACACACAAGCAGGGTGTATTTGAGTTGAAATTTTTCATTTAAACAAGTTTGTTTAAACAAACAAATTTTTTTCATCTATTTTTCAATATTTTGGATCATTTTTCCACTGAAAATTTAAATATTGTCCAAAATCTGAGTACTTTCAGAAGCCATCATTGAAAATTTTTGCTTTGTGCTATATGAGTTGCATCTTTTTTTTCAAACATCACGTCTTCACACATCATGTTTTTTAAAGTATTGTGTCTTCCCATGACAGTTTGTGCTGTGACATTTATACATATATTTATTAACAATATATTTATCTTAAATAACTATGCATTAGACTATTATTTATGTTTATATTGGTTCAAAGTTACTATAATATATTCCCAAGTGAGGGCTAAACTTACTAAACTTGGGGATTGGTATGTAAGAATCTCATTAAGTGTTGCCTTTCATAATATCATACAATATATATGAACTATTATTGAGCCAGAAATCTATTAATAAAGTCAGCTGTATAAGCTATTTTGATGAAAGTAATATCTACATATTTTCTCCAGATATGAAATCTAGCACAAGGGCATTTTTAATGCAAGAACCCACATATATTTGCATGGGTAAGTCCCAAAATTATCTTATTCTATTAGCATGTGTCAGGGAGCATCATTGATTGTATTTTATTAGTGTAATACCAATTTGATTAACCTTTAACGCACTGCATTATTCACTATTTTCGATTTCCACTGCACTGTTTTTCAAGGCTCCTCAACTGCAGTACTTAATTTCAGTCATGGTCATTTTCTGTTGCCATAGCAGGATATGGCAACAACTACAAAGTTCAAACACACTATCATTCATTTAACTGAATCACTTGCAGTAGCAGGATAAAACTTTTGCTTTGCAAACAAAATCACCTTCAGAATGTTAAAGGTTAAAGTGAAGGTTAAAACAAAGTGAACAAATTAACACACAATATAGTTGTTAAATATTTGTTTCAATAATGTCAAAATATAGAGAAAAACTATAGTTGTGGCTGGGTACTTTATTAGATATATTTAAACACAGAATAGCTGATAAAATCTAATTTTTAATGAAGTTGTTTGTTCTTAATGCATTCAGTGCCAATGGATGATTTCCAACACTCGACACTTTCACAACTGTATTATTATAGCATTGGTGCCTGGCTCATTTTGGAAAATTAGAAACTGCTATTTCTTGGAAATATATAACTATAAAGATGGCAATTTCTCATGTGTAGCCATTTTGGTTTCGATCAAATACAATGCAATACAGACTAAGCTGAATAAAACCCCCAAAATGCAATATAATAAATGTACATGAGAAAACAAATCATATTGTTTGCTGTAATATGTCTATGTTGGTTTGAAAATAGCACTAAGTGCTAGTTAGTTTATAACTCAAACACTAGGGATTGACATTTTATGAGGTCTTGAAAATATATTGACCTTTTTGATAGTTGTGCCGTGTCTGTATTTTGTCCTCGGCATATTGTTGGAACTAATACCCGCTTTCCAATAATGTTATTTAGTATCTGGAGAAATACCAAATCTTAGACTATATATCTTGGGTTAAAAAAAAACCAAAAAAAACTGTTGGCACTGAATGTTACTGTAGTTGATTTTTCCTAATTTAGGTATTTAAAAATTGCATAGTTGCAGCTAGGATATAAAAAAAATTTAAGACAGTTTGATTGATAACTTACATATGTGCAGTATTTATTTATATAAACTACAGTGCCTTCCTTAATAAATTTTATCTCATCATCAAGAAATTGATTAGAGAATTAGAAAGGATCATTAGAAAGAAAATAAATAGAGATATGTCTAGATGTGTATCAACTGGCAAGTCATGTTTCTGATGCATAAATAACTATTATATAAATAATTTTATCTCATCATCAAGAAATTGATTAGAGAATTAGAAAGGATCATTAGAAAGAAAATAAATAGAGATATGTTCAGATGTGTATCAACTGGCAAGTCATGTTTCTGATGCATAAATAACTGGCGAGGGAATGACATTGAAATTTAAAAGCAAAATACAGCCAAAAACGAAAAAAGGGGGGGTCATGTTTGTGGGCTTTACTCAGATCAACCAATCGAATATGACCTACATTAAATTTAAACTAAGGGAAGAAGCAAAAATCAAGAAATTATTTTTCATAAATGGGCCATGACCTGTAGATTTGAAATGAATAGCAGCAACAGACATTAAACAGGAGCAGATGTAAATGAATACATATTGTACATTAGACTATGTCATTTTCAAAGAAAAAATGAAGTGGTAATCTAACAAAATGCTAGACAAGTTATATGCTTTGTGAGTTTCCTACATAAAAAAATTTTTTTTTTATAGTTGATAAATAAATACCTTCTTTAAGAAACCAGTAAATAGTTTAAATGTATAGACTTGGTAAATTAATATGCAACTGTTGACTAAAGATTCTTTACATAAAGGTGTTAATAACTACTCAATGCAGAATGTCAAAATACCAACCAAATACCAATACATCCATACAAGATGTTACTAACACTACCAGGAGATTAATACAAAATTATATTAAATCCAAATTAATCTTACCAACAGAAAGATAAGCCGTATATAGTACATAACAGTTCAACTAAAATCTAAGAAAAAGCATTGTCAAATTCCAAGTCTAACTGAATTGTAAGGTAAAAGGTAGATTGTGTTTACAATTTACCGTTAACTCAGATCTTTGGTTTAATAAAGCATTCTTATCAAAGAACCTAGATTCATTGATACACATCAAAACATGACTGCAATTGCATAGCAATTTTGACATATTTTTTATGTAATATCCTAAGATAAAGAATATTGCTCTACTTTGTATTGAGTCCTCTTTTAAATTAAATGTTGGAATTGTACTCTATTTGTTCTCATCTTACCTGGACGGGATATATATATATATATATATATATATATATATATATATATATAAAGGTCTAATTTCACAGAACTTATAGTTTTAAACAAACAAAACTGATATATTTTTCCCTTTAAATTTAATAGTAAAGAGGGGGGATGTCAATAAAACAGAATAAACAGTTCCAGTGAGTTCAAAAAGGAGAATATATGACTCACAGACCACCCAGTAGAAAACGAGAACAAATAAATTTCTCCTCCTGCCAACACAAATATAGTCGATGCCATTTAATATATACTGCTTGTAAGATGTGCAGAAGCTTAGCCGGCCGTGCTTTGCCCAAAATGGAAAACCACAAACCACTGTATTTATACGCACACTCTAGATTATCCAAGAGGTGTTGACCTATCATCTTTTATCATGCTGTTTGCGTAAGACACGAATTGCAGGTACTCATATCCTGTCTGAAACTGCCAGGCACATGTTGTGCAATACGTATTTCAAGGTGCTGATTAATATATTAAATTGCATTTATTGTAGTTCCTTGTCTCCTTCTAGTATATTTATTATCCTGCAATTCTTGTTACATTATAGTTTTTACCAATGATTCTTCAAAAAAGTTTACCTTTTAAAGGGAAAATGTGGTTTTGCCTGTTTAAATATATATAAAGGGTGTTCCAATAACATGGACTGATTTTAAATTAAATTAAGTTTAAAATTGGTCCAAGTTATTGGAATAACTTTTATATATTTTAATAAATTCTTACGCCAATATATCCTCATATCTATTGTCTCAATTGATAGATTCGTTTTCTATGGCTTATTAATCCTTTTGCAGGTTCTTTAAAGACAAAAAATATTTTGAGATTGTAAGAATTTCTTTTTTGGGGGAGATAATAATGGTCTAGAGATACAAGTTTTACTAATTAACCCATAGCTGTGGATATTTGTGCCTAAGTGAATATAACAAACCCAACAGGAATTGGAACTTGACTCTCCAATTAGCAATTTTGAGCCATCATCCATTACACCACCTGCACATCCAAACTTACAAAACATAGTATTTCCAAGCTGTCACCCACCTAGGTACTGACCAGGCTTGACTTTGGTAATTGTACAGGAACAGGTGTTTCAACATGATGTCACCATAAGCTTCTAGTGTTTCAACCAGAGGGACGAAACAATCAAAGACTGTAATCAAACACACACCAATTTGTAAAAGTTATTCTTTCAGAACATCGCTCTATACAATTCTAAATTTTTGTTTATAGTTTATAGTGATGATGAAAATAAAACTATACACAAGTGGGGGTAATGCACAACAGCTATCAATTTAATCTGATAAGATCTGAGCCAATGTCAGAAACTAATAAAACAATAAAATTGTAATGTTGAACTTGCCTTAAAAGAAAAAAAAGAGGTATATTAAAAATAAGTTTTCCATAAAGCAGAGAAAAAGAAGTTCACAATGATGAGTTCCAGTTTTAAGAAAATTTGGAAAAGGATGTCTTAAGTACACAC